TTTTTTTTTTTTTTTTTTTTTGGTTTTTTTTAATGTTTCGTTTGATATTATTTTAAAAATAATCATATAATTAATAATATTATTTGTTTATAATCCTTGATCAAATTCACAAGTTTTATTTATTGGCATCAAATTTCTATGGATGTAAAATGAATAAGATATGGCCAAGAACGAGGAAATATGGGTCTGTCAAGCCCAAGAGCAACTCGTACTGTCGACTCCATAAAGACTACGGGCATGACACGGATGACGACAAGTACTTGAAAGAAGAGAATGAGAGGTTGATAAAGTCCAGACACTTAAAGAAATTAATTTATAAGGATAGAAAAAGAGGATATTTTGAGGCCCAACAGATGAAGACTTAACCGAGCAAGAAAGGCGTATGCTAGAGGCCAACATGCTAAGAGCGAGGTGCATTACGTTGACGAAAATGGTCCGCTGATGAACTTTGGGCCCACAGACGTGGGAGAGGTCGAGAGCCCATATAATGATGCCCTGATGATAACGTCGCAAGTGTCGGGGTACGAAGTACAAAGAGTATTCGTAGACACGGGGTTCGTATAATGACACCGCATTACCCATCTTTCGCGCACTCAATCACCAGTGGGACTAGTTGAGCCACCAATGCAACCTTCGAGTCAACTTCGGTGGTCGCGGCCACTCCATTAACCATCGTCTGCTCCATCGGCCATTGGTAGCTATTAAACACCATCTCGCAAGAAAAAAAAAAAGAAGAATAATAAAATATAAAAAAAGGGAAAGGAAAAAAAAGAAAATAAAAAAAATAATAAAAAATTTCTAAACTAATATCTATTCGCTTTCTTCTAATATTAATAAATTCACAAACAACCGCAGGTAACGGTGCCAAAAACTTATTCGCTAATTATTTTTGCTATCCGCAAGTGACGGCGTAACTATAGGTAGTGGCGAGGAAAGTCGTATTCCACATAGATTGTAGTTAAACTAGTTAATCACTAAAATAATGTCGATTAAATATTTTCTAGACTAGTGTATTGGATGTGATTATGAACTAAGAAATTAAACTAAGAACTAATTTACCTACTAAAATAAAAATAAAGTAAGATACCAAAGATAGATTATAGGTGAAGCGTTCCTCACAATTAATTCATGAAACGTTTATATTCATACAAATCCTATTTAATTTTACCGATAGTAGAGATAATCAATAAATTGATTTCAACCTTTTTCTCGAACAAGTTCAATCGTAGATATTAATTGTTATATATCTCATCTCGGTCTCAAGATGAACAACTCCCATGAGTTCCTAGGATTTTCGTTCTCTCGTAAGGTCATCAACCTCTAGGTCTGTTTATTCTCTTACGTTATAAATTTCCCAATTTTAGCAATTAATTATCTCCTCTCGATCTCAAATCGATCACAAATATGCATTCATAGTGGTCATCTACTCATACAATAAAAATATGCAAAAGAAATTCATAAACGAAAGATAAACCAAAATGAAAGAAATAAAAACTAAATCATAAATCAATCCCAGTACTAAAAATCCTAGAATCTAAAATAAAACTAGCCTAGAAACATGCTTTCAAAATATGAAAAATAAATATAAAACATTGAGGTCGAAAAACAAAAAAAGAAAAAGACAGAAAAAGCTTATTCGGCTTTTTTCGCTCGTCTCGCTGTGTTTCTAGCCTCCAAAAATCTCCAAAGATCTGAAAATATGTCCAAGACTCCTAAAAAACATGCCCTAGTATCTCTTAAATAATCGGGGTCGAGTCCTAGTTGAAATAGGTCGAAAATACCGTAAAAATAGGAAAAAAACGTGTATGGCAATCATCCAGACTCACACGACTCATGTCATAAGGAAAATGAGTCGTGTGAAAATGCCGTAAGCTCAATTCACGACCGGTCAGAATGACCCGAGACGTGTCGGAAGTCACACGACCCGCGTGAACCTGGGCACCAAAAATAGCTCAAAAAACGTCGTTTTTTTCCCTCTTCACAGCTCCTGGTCGAGTTTCCAGCGTCCAAGGATGTCAAGAGTACTCCCCGTCGTCTTGGTCGGCTTCCAGTCGTCGGTGATGGCGGATTCCGGCCAACTCCCGACAACAATTTTTTTATTTTTTATTTTTTATTTTTTTTTTCCAGCGAGAATTCGACCTCCAGATGGATTCTCCGGCGAAAGAGGGTGTCTGGCGTCGAGCAACTACGCGCAAACATGGCGGACATGTTCCTCTCCACGGCAGTAGGCGGGTGACGTGATTTCCAGGCTGCTTCTCCGGCGACCGAATGGTGACAGAGGTCGGTTTAGGTATGCAAACATCGTCGAGGAGATCTGGTGACGCGTGGCGGCGAGGTTGTAACGCCCCGTTCGATTTATAGAATTTCTCAGATTATTCTATTTATCGAATCTTAATTTTGAGATTATATTTTATAATATTATATGGATACTGAGATTATATAGTGTTGATAAACGGATTTGATCAACCTTTTTCATTGTTAATTTCTTTGATTCGCGTGGAAATAATATGAATTTATTGGTTAAGCGTGGAATAATTCATGATTGGCTCAAGTCGGTTTTCTGGACTTGAGGTCGGTTTTGAATAGTACAATTATATTGGAGAATATTACAGAACCGAGGTGATAAATGCGGAATTAAATGTGTCGGGAAAGGATCCTCATATTGTGTTTAATACTGCTACTTATAGTAACTGTGGGCTCGTCTTTTGAGGGGATGCGGCGGCATTTAATGCAGTGTGACAGGACCCAGAACCTTTTCAGCGAGTGGGTCCCCTTTGCAATGATGTCCCCACGTGGCCCTCAGCTATCTTGATGGACGTGCATTTAATGCTGTCTGTCGGTTCCGACGTCGGCCCATATTTGAGGTCACCTATGCAGTGAGGTCGGTATCCTGACGTAGTAGGTCCTCCGAGGTCGGTTTACAAAACTCGGGAACATTATCCTAGTTCTACTCGGGTTGGCCCCCTTTTTCCCTTTCTGCCCACGTGTCGTTCATCCGACGTCCGCAGGAATTTGATGTCAACATTGAGGCCCCTGACGTTAAGGGGGAACGTATACCTTGGTCCGCCTTGACGTCATTTTTGTTGTCTTTGGTTAGTTCCTCCAGCTTCTAGGACTCCAGCCGACTTGTCGTCCTTAGCCAACGGGCGCGACTCTTCTGGCTCATGGCTCGTACCTCCTCTGGTACGGCGCGTGTCGATGCGAAGCGACGTGCTCGATTCCTCGATTTTGGGCGGTTACGCCCCTTCATTACACGTTTCCACGATCTCTGACAACTTTATTACGTGGCAGGTTCTGGTTTGTCGATGTGCGGCCGTTTTGACAGCGTGAAACGTCTCTATCTTTAAGGGCGGCGGTTCGTGAACGTCAGTTTCCCTGTAACGGTCATATTGTCTGAGTATAAATACTCCCCCTTCTCCACCGCCTTGAGTCATACTGCTTTCAACCCTTCCGATCTTTGCTTTTGATTTTCTCCTTCTCTCTACTTTTGCGGCTTTTGTTCTTGACGTCTCCGACCCCGTTGTTCATGGTAAGTCCTCTTGTTTTCTCTTTTCCCAATCTTCGATTAGTTAGTGTTTTTTCCTTTATTTTGCTTTGAACCTATCGACCGCCGAAACGATGGCGGAGCGAGCGGAAGGGAGCAATAGCAGAACGATTTCCGACGAGGTCGGTCGTGAAGTTGTGTCCGATGAGGAGGGGGACTTAGAACTGGCGTTAGGGTATTATCGCTGGGATCCGCTGTTGGCTGAGCGTTTGGTCTTGCGGTGGAACAACCATGAAGGTGATGCCGAAGTGGAGAGTGATCTCCCCGTCCGTGAAGGCTTCTGGAATCGCCCTCCTCGGCGTTGGGCCGACGTCAGCGTCTCATTCCCGGGCGAGCCCAGCACGATGACAGATGCCGACGTGGTGTTATTGAGGAAGTCGGCGCGAATCCCCCCCACTGTGAAGATGTTCGCCCCATATCCCGGCGAGAGAATTCATTTTCCCCCTCCCGGCTGTGTGGGGGTGTTTGCTGAAACGATTAGGTCGGGACTTCGGTTCCCCCTTCCCAACATCATTACCGACTATCTCCGGGACTGGGGAATTGGCATCAGCCAGATCACGCCCAATAGTTGGAAGAAAATCATCGGACTTCTGGTCCTCTGTATTCAAAACAAGTTGTCGTTCCCGTCGATAAACGAATTTCGGAGCATCTTTTTCTTCAAGCGAAGTCGGGAGCGGGACGGCGTGCCGCCTTCCGGCTGTTTCTTTTGTTCTGCTAAGGCGCTAGGAGACCTGAAGGTCGGTCAACTGATCACCGGGATTCCTGATACGCTACACGGCTTCCAAGAGGAATGCTTCTGGGTTGGCGGTGATTGGGAGTCGGCCGACTTCTTAGCCGAGCCTAAAATTGATGGGATGACTGTCCTGAGCCGAGTTGTCGACGTTTATAGTAAGTTTTTCCTTTCTTTCTACACTTCACCTCCTAACGACGGGCTTTCTTTTTCGCTAACAGGTCGGAACTTTTGATATTTGTAGCCCGGAGGAAGAAGGAACCCAAGCTCTCCGCCGAGTTCGCTGAGAGGCTTCAGGATCTTGCGAAAGTCCCGCATTCCGATCGTAGCTGGCGTAAGTTGTTGAAGGAGGTTGAATTAGCGAAAGCCGAACTTTCTTCGCCCCGCCCGTTTAAGACGTTCATTCCTGGTGAGCCGATTTGTTCTTCCATTATCTTTGACCTTGGGTCTTGATGTGTTTCGTCCTTCGTACCTGATTTTTCGGTCTGAACTCTTGCAGTTTACTATCCGATCCTCGGTTTTCACGGCTTCAAGTTGGTTGAGGACGCCGACCATTCCCGACGCAAACTTTCTAGTTCCGAGGTCCAACTTCAATTTGCCAAGGATATTGAGATGGGTCGCTTGAAGTTCTTACAGAGTGTGAAGAATGCCTCCACCAATCGCGGTGCTTCAACCACGGGTCCTGTTACCAGGTCGATGCTTCCAACGGGTGAACCGAAGTCCGTCCAGGCCCCTGTTGCTGACCCACCTGCCGAGCAGGTCCAGGGGACCGAGTTGGTCGTGACGTCCCCGACCCGCCCCGACGTCAGGGAGGAGGTGATCCCAGAGACCCCCCAAGATGCTCCTATCCTCGTGTCCAGCGCCGAGGAGGCTGAAGCGGAGAAGAACAACGCTGAGAGAGGCGATGGGCGCAAGAAGCGCAAGTCCAAGAAGAAGCCCGAGGACGAGCCGCACACCGCCGGGGAGCGTCAGTCTAAGATGAGGCACGAACCAGTTCTAACTTTGGAAGAGAGGAATGCTCCCGTGCACCAGGACAAGAGTTCTACCTTCTTGCCTCTCGACGACGAGAGGGTCCTCAACCTCAACTTGCCCCCTGGTGTCCCTGAGTGGTTTACCGACTTTCATTCCGTGGCGCACCCCGAGATCCCGAACAAGTACCACCAACCTTCCCACGTGATTGAGGCGGCCCAAGTTCCCCTGATGGCTTTGGATCCGACCTCGGAGGTGATGCTGTCGTCGATGTCGGACGTTCAGAAGTTCAGTTATGCGAAAGCTTGCCTGGGGAGGGCCTTGGTGAGCTTAACTTCAGTGGAAGACGTGTTCCGTTCGAACTTTACCGAGCTCGAGGAGAAGAAAGACAAAGTCGTCTATCGCGACGTTCAGATTTCCTCCTTGCAGTCTGAGAAGGCGGGGCTCGAAGTGACGGTGGCTGAGAAGT